GAGTCAGGTGACGGCGGCGGACAAACCCGGCCAGCCCTCCGCGAAGCGCCCCGCACCCGCCCGGCCGCTCGCGCACGCCGCCCCCGGGGACCGCGAGCGTAAAGGCGCCGGGGGCCGCGCGCATCCCCGGCACGCGCGGCAGGGCCGATGGGGTGGGGGCGGGGAGGCCGACGCCCACCCGGGTCACCCTCCGCCGGCGCCCGGCAGCCCCCCGCCCGCCGGCTGCGCACCCCGCACGCACCGGCCGCGCGCGCCGCACACACCTGCCCGCGGACTGCGGGATGCGCCCTGGCGGCGGGGGCGGGGGCCCTGCTGGGGGCTGCGCTGCTCCGGCTCTTGTAGGTGAAGGCCAAGGCAAGGGCGTCGTCGCGCGGCCCGACAGAGCCCAGCCCCCTTCCCCGCACCGTCGCTGACACGCCCGGCTGTCAAAGGCAGCCCAGGCCCAGATGGGCAGGGCGATTTGAAATGTCATATTCTGCCCACCAGCCGCGACCGTTACCTGCGTTTCCGCAGCGCCTCAGGGCTCCTGTCCTGGCCTCATCACAGTGGGCAGAGGGCGGGCAGGTAATTCTAGCCACTTTGGTCTTAAACGGATACTGAGGTCTGCTGCAGGGAAGACTAATTAACAAAGTCGTTAATGGAGTCCCAGATTATGTTACTTAAAAAGTAATTTCTGCCAGTTAAATAGAGTATTTGAACGTCTGTCAAGTGGATGTCAAGTGTAATTCTGACTGCACGAATTTCTAAACAGCGTTGTGGACTTCTTAATAGCTTTTGGCATTGACATTTTCAGAGGTTTGTTATTTATCCTAACCCATTTTCTTCTTCTTCTTCTTCTTCTTTTTTATTTTTATTTATTTATTTATTTATTTATTTTTGAGACAGAGTCGCACTATGTCGCCCTCAATAGAGTGCTATGGCGTCACAGGTCACAGAAACCTCAAACTCCTGGGCTTAAGCTATTCTCTTGCTTCAGTCTCCCAAGTAGCTGGGACTACAGGCACCTGTCACAACGCGGCTATTTTTTGGTTGTAGTTGCCATTGTTGTTAGGCAGGTCTGGGCTGGATTTGAACCTACCTCTGGTGTACATGGCTGGTGCCCTAGCCGCTGAGCTATAGGCGCTGAGCTTAAGCTAATTTCTTTTTTAAATTCTTACAGTAGAATCAAAACCAGAACTTCATTTGTGAGTTTTCCTGACATTTTTCCCTGGCCAGGTGTCCTCTGTTGAGCCTTGAGGCCATGTATATCTACTTACAAGTATCAAGATTTGGTCGTGTGCCCCTTTCACCCGGTGCGGTCTTCAGTAGGGTCAAGTTCACAGCTGTTGGAACTCATTTTGCCACTAATTAGAAGCCCAATGCCTCAGAAAGACAGTGCAAGGTCATCAATGTCTGGTTCCAACCTCAGTCTCCCTGTGACCCAGTAATACCCCTCTCGGTATTTACCCAAGAGAAATAAAAACACGTTTCCAATCAAAGACTTATATTCACATTTTGTAGCAGCCCCCAAATAGAGGAAACTCACGTTATTCTACTAGGAAATGGATAAACAGAGTGTGGCATGTCCACGCGAAGGAACACTACTTAGCAACAACAAGAAAATTCACAACCCCATGAAGGGGGGACTGCAAAGGGGCAGGAAAGAAGGTGTGTGGAATGGTTTATACACGAGTGTGATTGGTGGTTACACAACTGCGTACACGTCTCTCCTCACTGTCTACACTTAAAATTGATGACTGTTACTGTTTATACTTTAGACCTCAGTATGGCTGATAAAAAGGAGTTGGAATGGTTTTAGTGGTTTATGTGTGTGTGTATACAGAGAGAGAAAGAGAGAGAGAGAGAGAGAGAGAACTCTGTTGCCCAGGCTAGAGTGCAGGGGCATCCTCATAGCTCACAGCAACCTCAAACTCCTGGTCTCAAGTGACCCTCCTTTCTGAACAGCTAAAACTACAGGCCACCCATGACACCTGGCTGATTTTTTCTATTTTTGGTAGAGACGGGGTCTCTGCCTTTTGCTCAGGCTAATCTCAAGCTCCTTACCTCAAGCGATCCTCTCGTCTAGGTCTCTCAGAGTGCCAGGATTACAGGTGTGAACCACCACACCCAGTCTAACGTGGTGGTAATATTAATATCACACCAAGTAGACTTCCTGGTAAGTGCTGTGAATAGGGATAAAGAGACACAAAAAGATCAAGATTTGTCAGGTTATGCAACAACCCCGCATGTTTATAAAGCTAGGGCAGAGTTTCAAAATAAGATGATGCAAAAACTAATAGCTTCTAACTAGCTTCTAACTAATTAAAGGAGAAATAGGCAAATCCACAATTATACTTGAGGTTTTGGCACTCTCTTTTTGTAGTAAATAGGGCAAGTGGAGAGCATACCATTGAGGGTACAGATGACTTGAAACAGGCCTGTCGACCAATTTGCCCCACCTGACGTTTAGAAAATGCTCCCCTTGGCAATAGTGGGATGTTTGTCCAAGTGCACATGGAACATTCACCAGAATAGGCCATATTCTGGGCCAGAAAGCTAATCGCAATAAATTTAAAAGGATTACAATCCAGAAAAGACGTCTCCATAAATTTACAAGATTACAATCATGCAAATTATATTCTCTTACCCCAGTGAAGCTGAACTAAAAATCAAGAGCACATGAATATCTGGGACTCTCTGAATATTTGGTAATTAACACATTCTAAATAAACCTTGGGTACAATTTTCTCATAAGGAATATTATAAATTAATTTGAACTAAATAATAATGAAAATATTCTAAAATTTGTGGGGATACCTGTAAATCAGTGATGGGAGAACCCTTTGCAGCTTCAAAATGCTTATATTAGGAAGGAAAAAAGACCTAAAAACAGTTACTTAAGGTCAACTGTCAGAGTCTAGAAAAATGACAAATTAAACTCCACATGAGTAGAAAAAAGGAAAATCATAAACATAAGAGTGAAAATTAATGAAAGAGAAAATAAATAGACAAAAAATAGATAAAATCAATGAAACCAAAAGCTGTTTCTTTAAAAAGACCATAAAATTGATACACCCCTTAGCCATGATGATTAGGATCAAGAAGAAGAAATAATGCAAATTTCCAATGTTAGAAATGAAAGGAGAGATGGATTCTATGGTGCTAAAGAATAAAGGAATGTTGTGAACAACTTTGTGTCAATTAGTTTGACAATTTACATAAAACGAGAAAATAGTGTAAATTAATACTTCTCAGAGGGTCCTGTGGTGATATCGCATCCCATACGTTGCTACTTGTTAAGAGGGTTTGAGCAAGTAACGTGTTTCCAACAACAATGAAAATAACACAATCTGTGCATGATTTAATTTTCAAAAATAGATTGAAGTGAATTCAAGGTCAATGCTATACTACAAAGTGTCGCACGCAAAAATGTCACATAAAGTCATCATACACAGAGAAAATGGGAAATTGCACCCAAATGTACCTTTATTTACAAAATATTCATTGCAAATTTTTATATAATATTTACAAAATATTCCTTACACGTGGTCACCTCTTTGTAAATAAAAATAGAAATGAAAAATTATTTCTTATATTTATTTATATTTCTTATTTTTATTTTATTGTTGTGTATTCATTAAAGGTACAAAGAACCAGGTTACAGTGATTGCATTTGTTAGGTAAAATCCCTCTTGTAATTGTGTCCTGCCCCCAAAAGGTGTGTCACACACCGTGACCAAAAAATTATTTCTTATTAACATGTTCTCTTTGAAGGCCCAGGCATGTAACATAATTATAGTATCCAATAAATATTATTCAAGAGTAAGAATTGACATTAACTATTTTTACAAATTGAAAGGTCTTTTGATCTCTCTGTGGTCAGAAAAGAGGGTAACCACAGTAGACACCAAAAAAATGCTTTGTAAAAATATATTGACTTTTTTATGAGTTAGTATACATA